CTGTATAAATTATTAATGTTTCTTACCTTTAAAATTGTAATACTTTCCTGAGATATATTTTGGAATATCTAGTAATCATTTGAGAGGAATACGCGGGAATATGCATATGCCTGGAAGGATAATTAATCTTTTACATCGAATGTCGAATCGAATACGAATGTCGATCATTTAAAGTAACAAACGCAGGTATAAAGAAACAAACAAAGGTATGCTAAATTATAGAATAAAATAAAAGCAAACGTCTAAAATATTTAGTAAATCTCCATTACGCTCGTGCATAAAACTAACGCAACAACTTCTCTAATGAATTTAAAAGCCCGTATTTCACGATTTACGCAATGTACCCAAAACATTTTGCGAGTAATTCAAGTGTGGCTACAAAACTAGCGTATTGTAAAGAGTTCTTGTAAATCTAATACAAAATTAAAGCAATTCGAAATCTCTGGAGTCTTTGAAAAAAAAGATCTTGCTCTATTACACTACCCTGTCGATTTATTACCGCAAAAACAACACCTAGAGAAGTAAAGGTGAAAAATTAAAATGTTTGGAACATTGTACTAGAAATTATACTTCTTAAATTATTATTCTGAACAACCAAGAACAAATTAACGGCGCCATCTTATAACGTCATCTTTATTGCATTGTTTAGGATTTTTAGAAGTGATTTTGGCCGAGGTATACTTATAAAATTTCTGAATCAGTTTTTTCGTTGCTTTAAAATTTTAATTCTCATATCTCTTTCAAAAAATCGATAGTTTAATGGCCACACATGTGTTGTAAGCCGTATTCAAGCAACAAACATCGCAGCAGCGAATGTTTACTTCTGTTTATCATTCAACTAAGCTGTTAAAATTTCAACTACACATTTTACTAATGTCTTACTTTACTTCCATGCTTGTGTTTGAACGCGACTCGCTGGAGCGGGAGATATTTGCTCACGCAAAATATTTTCTAAAGTGATTTCCTTACAAAATCAAACCTAAAAAACTTTTATAAAATGACTCTACTTATAGTTTCGTCTACTTATAATATTCCCATGCATGCAATTATGTACGTCAGGAATCTTCCAAGATTCAGCCAATGGGATATATGACCTTAATATGATGTATACCTGCCATCGTATTTACTTTTAACTTATTTGCTGTTTTTATAGAATACGTAAAAAACTAAGAACTAAGTGTTTACTTTAAAATATAAGTTTAAAATTGAATAATTCTAGTTCAGAAATTTCTAGTTTTATCAATGTAACAAAAGATTTTTCTAACAAAGGGTAACAGTAATAGGAAAACGTAATATCATAAAGAACTAGGAAGGGCTTTAACTATGTCTTTATTAAGCCCATAATAAAACTAAGGAAACGTTTTCTGTAGACTATTTAAAAGCCCGTATTTCTCGATTTACTCAGTATACCCAAAAACATTACTAGTAATTTGACTGTGGCCACAAAACTAGCGATATTCATAATTTCATTTAATTTATGTTCCTTACAACCTTGTAATTCAACTATTTATCCGAAACATGTTGAAACATGTCTCATCAAATTCAATCCAAATTTATGTGAGGACCAGCTTCATCCCAGTATAGCTGGGAGCTTTTATTTACACCTCCTTTGCTCCAAGCTATTGCAAAACTTGTGTAGTTATTTGTAGGAACTTTAGTAAACTTTCTACTAATTAGTGTTTCGAAACGCGCTACTATTGACGTTCGTACTTAAGATTTTAACCTTGACTTTTAAGAGACAGGACCTATTAAACGCACACATACCACTCTGTCAAATACTCTGTAAAGACGAATAGTTAGTCCTAAACTTGCTTATGTGCTCGCTTTATTTATATATTTTTTAAATCATTATGCATTAATTAAAGCACAGACAACATTTGTCATTGTTATGTGTATGCCCCGGCGATAAGTGTGAGCATTTTTAGTATAACGGAAACTGCCTAGTCCGTTTCTATATAGTCAAAGATTTAAACCGTTCGTTTTGGTTGTTGTAGTATTTGTTGAATTCAAAAAACTTGTATCATATACTGAGTTAGAACACGTAGAGTAAAACAAGTTAAATAAAATATAGTTTACATTTACAAAGACATTTGTTATATCCTAAGTCTGATACATACCTCCGTACACAAAAAAACGTAAATCTTCGAAACCTGATAACGTCACTTAATAACTTGATATTTGATACTAAATCAGCACTAAAAAGGTAATCTTTTTGGTAATCTGTTTATTTGCTTAATAAAGGTTATAAAAATATTATTGTCATATTTAATAAAATTTCTTTATTATTCTAAATAAAATCACAATATTGAGATTTTTATACCTAATCAGTTTTTCATTTATGAACATTTATGGTGCGTATATTTACGTATGTACATTTTTATAACTAATCTTAAACTATACAATTTTACATTAACATATTTACAATTTCGCTTAATCTACATATTTTTTTACATTTAACCTTTTTACAATAAAAATTAACAATATCTAACTTACTATAGTACACGAGATTTGATTTGGCACGTCGTAAACAAGCGTACTCTTATCCCCGACGTGCCAATTCAAGTAACAGGCACTACTTGATGGACGTTTTATAACTGCTTTCGATTGTTATGATACTTGTATTAAAACATATTGTCGTCTTATATATTTTCGTTTAAAAGAAAGAGACAACGACAAGTTTCACAACAATAGAAACTCACAGTAAAGAGTTTTCTAGAAAATAACTTCGTAAAATTGTCTTATTTTTATTGCTTCGTATTACACAACCATTGTGAATTGTGTTTTTAGTCTTTGACTGTTAGTGACTATTGAAAACTGGCTTATGCCCGCGACTTCGTCTGCACAGAATAAAAAGAGTGAAATATATCTCTGGTGTTATTCGAGACTATGTTCTACATCTGTGTGAAATTTCAATGTGTTGATTGCGCAGTTATCAAGGTAATACGTAAATCAAACGTATCCTACAGATACCGGACTCATCTTAGGGATATTAAGCCTATGTTTTCATTCAGACTGTGTTCTACATCTATACCAAAGTAGCTGTCGCCCAAGACTACGTATTTATAAAAAAAAACAACTTAATTAGTAGCCAAATTTCAGCAAGATTTATGTAGCCATTTGGAAGCTACGTTATACCAAACATTCATCCCTCAATCCATTCAAACTTTCTTATTTATAAATTATAATATTAGTAAGATTTCACAGAGATCGGTCATGCATCTAAACTTTTGCATTTATAATATTAGCAAGATAAATAAACTTTTCTATTGGTACAGACTAGCATTTACGGCAAGATAATCATGATTTCCAACGGCCCAAATATCTATATAAAAATGTACTAGGCCAGTTTGTATCACGGAGAGAGCGAGACAACGGATAATTTTCAGTTCGAATGTATAGGCAGAGGAGAAAAAACTGTAAAAGCGTCATTCAGAGATTTTATAGCGACATCTATTGTTGACGAAACGTATATTTGAAAACGTGAAAACAATAATAACTTACGTTATAAAGATTTGTATTCTTGTATGTACCGAATAAAATAAAAAAAACTGGACCGATTTCGAAAATTATTGCTCATTTTAAATTCGTTAACTACCCTGGAATAGATAAAAAGATAAATATTAATTGTCTTCGTAATTCCGACTGCGGATTACACACATTGTAACCAGACTTACATACAGGTAAACCAGCTGGTGTGTGATAAAATTGATCATACGTGTATTACGAAACTCGGTCATATGTTCAAGGGTTAAACTATCATGGTAAAACTAACGCGCGTGGGCCTACATTAAACCTATAAGCACAACTGATATCGGTGTTTTCCTTCCCACCATGAGCCACCATAAAATTTGAGTCGTAATTTGCAGAGCTGATAAAACCAATTACAGTTCGATGTAAAATATTAATAAATTAAAAGAAAACTATGCTTGATTGTTTGCATTCTATTTGCAGGATTTTAAAATATGAATATCGTTTTAAAGATTTGTAGTAAAAATACGGCAACATATTTTTATTGACGATTAGAACTAATATAGATAATATTTTCATATTAAACTCTACATTTTTGTTAACTGATAGTTATTATATTAGTATAATTTTCAGTTGTTTTCACAGATCTTAGTTGACGACTTTAGATCTCTCGTTTGGTTCTTAGGATCTTTGTAAATTTAAAATTAAATTTACGACAAAAAAATTTGCAATATTTTTTTACGGATTTTATAGCGTTTATTTAATTTTTATGTTACCAAAGTTTCGAGTACTTAATACATTGTAAAGTGAACAGGGAAATAAAATTGTCCCTATGTAAAATACGTTGTTCAGAATTTTTTTTATTATATATTTATTTGACCTTTTACCTTTATAGATAAAGAAAAAACACAAAATTTTAGTTGAAAATGTAGAGAACTTTATCTCAACAATATTTCTTCGATCTAAATTTGATCTGGTCTTTTATTATTAATAGAATCCCAAATAGGTAGCCATTTTGTTTTCAAAACTCTTATGAAACATCCAGGTTTCCGAAGCTGTTTTTTTGTTAATGGAAGATTTGTAACCTATAATCGGGGATTCTCTCGTCTTGGGTAAATAAAAATTAAATAAAGGCAATAAAATCCGTTAAATTAGTTTAATTTCCATACACATACTTGTTTAATTTCAGTTCCTATTTCATATCATAAATGAGACTATGGTTTTACTGCCCCAGAGACGTTAAGTGGCCGCTTAGAGTTCTTAGTGTAGATTAAATAATAAATTTACACTAAAGGACTGTTGAGTAACCGTTAAACATCTCTGAGTAAATTATTTTTATTAACTTTAATATTGCAAATACTTTTCATGTATCAGAATGTTTTTTTTTTACTTATTTTAATATGAAAATCCATAGTTCTGAATATTTAAAACAAAATAATGCATATTTAATTATCTGAAGGTTACTAGTACTGTCAATATTATATAAAAAAACGTACTAATTTCCATAAAAATAAAAGTAATTTTCAGTGGCTCTATCTTTTATATTAACAACCAGCCAAAATATTTAAGAGAAAAGCAACACGGACGCGATTTTTAAAATTGCACACTACCGCATCTGTTATCTGGCTCTTTCATAATACATACATAAATATATATCCAAAATAATAATAATAAGTTTACGTAAATCAAAATAAAATATTTGAATATATCCTATTTGTGTTTTTGTATCCATTGTATGGGTCAACTATAGATAGAGTCTCAGCATACCCATTGATATCCATATCTCAACAACAAAAGGGTATAATTAAATCCAATCCCGAGGACCTTTAAAGAAATTGTGCAGTACAGTAAACACTCAATATTCCGACAAACTTTTTGTTATTTAAAATATCCAAAGACTCAATTTTGTTCAAAACTTTTTAACAAATATCTTGTTATGATTATAGAATTCTTATTTATTATATTCCAGTAGCAATTTTGATAAAAGTAACCAGTATAAACCGGTTTTAACCGCTTTGAACCAGATTGAACCAGTTTGAACCGGTCCTTCATTAGGAAAGATTTGCCAAAATATAGTTTTTGTACGATTTGGGATTTACTGAGGGTCTACTGTACACAGGTTATATGAATAAAATAACTCCAAACCTAACATATAAGGGATCATATCATATATTTATAGAAATGTCTCAATAAAACTATTTAATCAGCTACAATCTGTAGCAATGTATATAACTGCATCACTTCACAACACTGCACATCACCAAAATCTTTGAGGCCTAGGTCCGGGCCACCTGCTCGTCTGCCTAGGTCCGTTCCTAGGCCGGAACTGAGGCGTGAATTGCCTGAAATTAGTCCTAGGTTGCCAATTTCTGGGGAAACGTTGGTTCAATAACGATCTTGGTTGAGGCCAATCATTCTGAAACTCTGGGGGCGAAGCATTTCTTCTATCCGCACTCAGTTCCATACCTCGATGTCTTATATCGTCTTCAAACATTTCATCAAACTCGGGAAGAGCTTCCAGAGTTCCGGAGTTCATAAGTTCTTGATTTGAGAATGGTTTCGGTGGTGGCATAAAGTTGGGTTCTTCTCTTTCTCTTCTGTGATGAATTTGTATAAGATTATGATTATTCTGTTCGTTCATGTCAATCTTTCCATTATCACCTCCTACAAGAACTTTGTTATTGATAAAACTGAGACGTCTGATGTGTTCAGCATTCGTCTGTGATGGGTACAGCCCTTCTGTGTTAGAAAAAAAAACATTTTAAATAAGTTTTTAAAAGAAATGAAAAAAAATCAGCATAATTATATCTAATACATGTAAATAGTATATATAAAATAATAGTATATATAATATTTATGTATATAATAAAGCTAAACTTTGTTCGCGTTTAACACAAACACTATCAATCGGATTTGAAAAAATATTTTTAAATTTAACAACACAATTATTAAGAAAGGTTATAAACTATAAAACATCACGCTTTCACTTACAGGAGCCGAGTAATAAAGGAAAAACAAGTCATAAATATTTCAAGGTCATTTATATGTATTTTAAGTAAAATGTAGTCACAACTAATATAATATATTCCTTACGAAGGTCCTCATCTTCGGACAGGTCCATATCTACACTCTCCACGATGTCGCTGGGCGCGGTTATTGGTGGCACGCGATAGTCCTGCAATTACATTGATTGTATTTTAGTGAGGTGTTGTTATATTTATCTCTGTATCTCAATATATTTAAATATGTCAGAATCTTTTCATATTACATTTAAGATTAAATATTATTTCATTTTAACCATGAAAAACATATTGTTGTCTCCTTCTTTTCATAAATAAAAAGACAGAAGACACTACAAGTATTTTTATATGAAAAAAGTTTTCATATTAAAGAGTTTTTTTTGTTTATTTACCTTAAAAATGAAACCTTATAAATCAACATGAATATATGAATCGTGTACTTACTTGATCTTCAATAGGATGTGTGTTTGTCGTCAGCTGATGTGTCAGTGATATTAAATTTCTATGGTCCACATCTATAAAAAAAAATATTAAACTTATCTAATAAATACAGTCCCACCTAGAAACCCAGACCAGAAAGTCTTACTAAGTCAGAATATATATTTTTTGTTTCTTTTAGTTATTGTAAAAATATTGTGTGTAGTTTTTTCCCCCATTCTAATAGATTTGTAACTCTACAGTTATTTTACTGTTAATTTAAGTTTACCTGCAAGTTAAGATAATAAAAACAAATATTTAATAAATTAAACCTATTATCATAATTTTAATATTATAAATATCCAATTTTATAGTTAGCGCACTAATAAAAAAAAATAATAAAAAAAAATCTTATATTAGATTATACTTCCGAGACATATTACGTTTGATAGATTGTGACCTTACTTAACACTTAGTCTATGGAATGCAAAAATAATTTCTCAAATCCGATTGATACTTATTAATGTTAAAACTAACAAACATTAATTAAATCATAAGTTACAAAAGTATTACTCTACATTTATAATAACTTGAAATGTTCAAACTTTTATAACTAAACTCTTAAGTAAAATAGCTTGACCTTGGAATATAAACTTTTCATGGTGGCGCCTCAATCGCTTTATTACATCACGTATAGTACGCTAGGAAATTAGTTAACTTTTTCCACAATATTGTGAAATATTTCATATTCCTGGACACGCTATACTGGTTATTAAATAGATATTAAAAAAAAGGTTAACCTTGATGTGAGACGATATGTCGCGGTGCCGTGGTGACTGGTGGTGCGGGAGGTGCGGGCGGTGCGGGGGGCGCGGCCAGCAGTCTGTGGTCGATATCCTCTATGTCTGAAATTCAATTAAATTTACACTTTAATAATGCTTCGAAATTAAACGGAAACTAACGTATCACGTATTAGTTATTTTTTCATCAAAACTTTACTTTGAAAATACACATAAATTGAAAAATATAAAAATACCAAATTTGATCAAGATCCATTGACACATTCCGGAGATACCTTCAAACAAACATCCTTCCATCCATCCATCTAACTAAACATTCGCATTTATTATATTAGTATGAAGTATGACAATATTATCATTTAAAGATCGTAGAGGTGTGATGTCGGCACGCTCGTGTGGCATTTCTTACTGAGATATGAGACTTACGTGTAAGCAGGGGCAGTACTGGGGGCGGGGGCGGAGGCGGGAGTGCTCTGTGATCCACGTCTGTTGGCGTCGTCTCCTGAAAATTAAGTTATATTGAATTAGTTATTTAATAATATACCAATTGTTGAAACTCTTGTACGATGCATACCAAAGGAGAATTTAGTTGGATATTTTTTACAATGAGTTAAACCAAAGCGCCATTGATATGATACTTCAATTATTTAAACTTTCGTGAGACATTATACTAAACTGATATATAAACACGGCTAAACACTCACGTATATTCGTCCGGTGGCGGCACCGACTAGTTTCGAGCCCATCGGGGGCCCTTCATCAGGATGAGTGGTACTGGTATTATTTCGCGGACGCGGCCCTCAGCTCACTGACTACTCGGTACCGCCACCGGACGTATATACGTGACTGTTTAGCCGTGTTTATATATCAGTTTGATATGATACTTGTTTTAAAACATATTGTCCCTTTCATTCTCTTTGAAAAAAATACAGGCAACAAAAAGTGTCAGTATAAAATGCAAAAGATTGGATAATTTGATATTAATAATACATAAATCTAATAGTCGGAAACAATGCATGTGGTACTCACATTTTTTTTAATTTAGTGCGGTGAAGTCGTCGGCTAAAGCTAGTCTATTAATAAATCTCACCTGATTATAGGAATCCGTCCGTACATTCATGACTGGTATTGTCGGTATAGTGGGCAAAGTGGGCGGTGTGGGCGGCGTGGGCATTGCGAGCGTGGGCATGCTGGGCATATTGGGCATGGGCGGCGGCGGCAGGGGCGCGGGCGGGGGAGACTCCGGCGTGTCCGCAAACATGCCGCGAAGCATCAGTGGGCTTGTTCGCTGTAAATTTCATTTTTAGTAATTTAGTGCATAGTTTAAAAAAATGTCAAGCATTCTTATATTTGTACAAAATTTACGTCTATATCTAGAAAATACTTTCGTCGATTTGATCATTTGATTAATTTTATCCTATTCTTCATAAAATGTAATAAAAATCTTAACTAGTCAAACTACTATCACTCATAAGTTTAAAAATACATAAATATAGTATGTATTAGTTAGCACTAATCTTACTAATATTATAAAGTATAGATGGATGGATGGACATTACCATGTAACTGCAGATCGAATGAATGGATTTGGATAAAAATTGAAACAATTTAAGTGTGGTAAAGGGTTATTCAAAGTTATTTTTAATCTAAATCCAGGTGACAGGTGATATAATAAAGAAATAACTCACTGGTACCCAAGTGTTGGTGTTCCAAGCTGCATTAGCAGGCTCTCGTTGGAAAGTTGGTTCCGTATCATCTGGAATTTAACAAAATGAAAACTATTCAGACGGATACATAAATAAAATACAACAAGACTACATTACTACACAAACAACGAAAAACACAAACACAAAAAACTTAATAATATGCAATATTATTGAAAAACAAGTAACTACAGTAAAACACGACGTAAGATAACATCAAAAATATATCTGTGTAATTAAAAAGAGACAGGTACAGAGAAAGAAAGAAAGAAACAAATATTTTTTCTGTAAACCTTACTAGCACTCGGACTACGTCCGTGCTTAATTAAAAAAACACAATTAGTAGCCTATGTGTTCTTTTAGTATATGTTCTATATGTACACCAAATTTCATCGACATACGTCCATCGTTCCATCCATCCATCCATCTAAATATTCATATTTATAATATTAGTAAGACAGTAAGAAGATTACACTAATACAGACAATGTATCCTGCATATGTTGTACAACATGTTTCTTGATACTTGGTAAGAGTGTAAACTCACCGTGTACAGTTTCAACAACATTAGTACCATAGAATGAAGTCGGTGGCGGGTTGCCCGTGCTCTCCGGCGTCAGCAGGTCCAAGCCGGGCAACGCCTCTTGACACTTTTGAGATATTGTTGTGTTCACCGCTGTAAAGTATCAAATTCATTAAATCCATAAGTATACATTCAAATTAAATAAGACAGAAATTAGTTTAGAAAAAAAATATCATCATCATCAATATGCAGGAATTGAATAAATATTTATCCGAGCGGAATTAAAAAAACTTAGTCTATGGGTTCTTCCAGACTATGTTCTACATCTATGTCAATATTCCATTGAGATCCACGCAGCTGTTTTGGAGTTACCTTCTAACAATCATCCATCCATCTAAACATTCATATTTATAATATTAGTAAGATTAACAAAAATATATTGTTATTAATTTGATGTTCTTCTAAAAATTGTGACGTCTGTATGTTGATGATGTCTCGGCAGTGGAAGCGCTGGGAAAGGCTTAAGAATAGCTAATATAAAATGATTTACCTGTATTACTTTCTGTAGTCTGTATGTTAGTCTCATTTGGTGCTAATGTCTTCAAAAAATCACTTATATTAAAATCTTGCTTTTCACTTGACCTGTTGTTTATTACTTCTATTTTGTTTGCTAGAAAAAAAACATATTCATGAATAAAACATATTTAATTTAAGAGAATGTTTTGCGAATTAACTGTCTGATATCTTGTCTCATTAAATATGAATGGGATTACTACAAAAACTAATTTAACAAACAAAAAGTTCTCCATATTAGGTTTTTGATTTGTAGTTTTTATCTATTTAATAATATCCGAGCAATTTTACAAGCTTGTAATTCTATTAAAAACATATTTAAAAAGGTTCTTTAGAAGAACGGGGAAACAGAGATTTGAACAGAAACACTGTTTAAAATTTCGCTAATCTAACTAAATTCGGTTGCAGTGATACTTGTACAGTCCAACCAGGATAATCATAAAACCTCCATGAGTGGAAATTGTCCAGTCACTATGACCACCACAAGCGAGAAACTCAGGTTGGAGAGAAACCTCTATAAGCAATATCATGGTCCTATGGACTCTCACTTATCTAACTGTATTGACATGTCACATAAATGGTAATCTAGTCTTACTATAGAATATATTAAAATATATATAATATTTTAAGTGGGGACGTATAGTGAGCTGATGATGATGATATATAATATTAATACTTACAATTATTAACCTCTTCGGATTTATTGAAAAGTGACAAAGGATTTTCTGATGTTAAGAACGATGATAATCCCAGATTGTATAAAGATCCATCAGCTGCCAATGATGTGTTGAATGTTCTGTCAATATTATATGATACTGCAAGAGATTACATTTAATATATAAGAAAGTTTAATGTACAGAAATATACAGAATAATTCTTTATTTTATAGTTATAAGTACTAGTCGTCAATTTCAAATTTACCAATAAAGACCAAAACACACAAATTAATTAGTAGCCTATGTAACAAGTATGTAACATACATCCACCCATTAACCAATCTTTCAGTATGCTGCAGTGAAACAATAGATAGTATTTGACACAGATAAGGTTACAAACAAGAAAACTGCCAACTGAACCGCTACCAACAGATGTCTGTAAATGCAGATGTATTGCCTACTTTTAATTGATGAAGGGGATGCACATAAAGAGAATGTTTCCCCTTCACATAAGGCTATTTTTATAACTATATCATATAAAGATCATAAGATTATGATCCTCAGCCCAGATCTACATTGTTGACCATAATTCAAAAGACATGTTAAGTCTTTTCTACTTCAATTTTAAACAATGAATTTGATATATCAAAATATATTCAACACTTACTGTCATCATCTCCAGATCCAGTATTATTAGGAAGATCCAAATCCTCATCAGGTCCCGGCGAGGGAACATCCTCATCCCTCTCCGGTGGTGAGGGCATGGCACTAGGTAATGTGGGAATAAGTTCGTCCAACTTTCGTTTTAATGCACGGACACGCGCCCCAAACGTTTTGTAAGCCTGCAATAATACAATATCCTACTATATTAATGTTCCAATTTAAAAAAAAATTAAGTTCGTATTGCATGAATAATGTTTGTTAGAAGGTATCTCTGGTACAGCTCAATAAATGAATTTTGGCTCAGATGTAGAACATAGTTTGGAATAACACATAGGCTACTCATTAAGTATTTTATTCCTCAAGGACGGAATCACAGGTGACAGCCTGTATTAGTATAAATGAGTTGACTACATAAAAAGTATTAAACCAAACTCACATAAGCAACAACTTTGACTTCCCCACGTTGTGTAGAGTAGTAATGATCCGCTGAAGTGAGGAGAGCTAATAACGCCTCTCTAGCAACTATCTCTCTTTGTAAAGCTTGTGTGTACCTCTCCACACATGCAATACCTTCGTTTAATTCCTTCTCAACATCATCTTTATTACTTCTATCTGTAAAAAATCCTAACTTAAAAATGATACAAGTCAATCAATCTAATGATTAGTATCTAAACACTTTGCCTTGGATAAAAAAAGGTTTAATTATAAAATAATGAATATTATTTTCAAACTGGAAAATCCCTTAGTTTTGATTTTATTCTTGTAAAGAATTAATTTTAAGAGTTGAGAAGAATAAGATACTAAAAGTCTATATAGAATTAATAAATCCAAGCAGATACTTTAAATTAAATACCAAAATACTTACCCTTAAGACTAGCTCGTAACGCATCAGAATCCGAGAGTTGTAAATGACTCTCATGTATAAATTTCAACCTTAAATCTGTATCCATCTCCAGTACTGTGCATTGCTTTATTTTGTTCACTAATTGCTGTGGCTGCAAAAGTAGAAACTTAGTCAAATAATACAAAAGCTATTATGCATACACATACATAAAAACAAACTTATATATACACAAAAAGACCAATTTGTCAGTTGGGTAAAAAAGAAAGAGATTAAAAATTTGCATCATTTTCTTGTCTATACCTTTTTCTATACTTTAAAGGGGTACTGTACATTCCCATATTATGAGTTTTTACAAATGCATATCATAGGTGTTACTAACAAGTTAACGACCCACTGAGCAGTGAAAAATCTTGTTTACAATATAACAGTTCTCACTTGAAAATCCAGGGGATCATCATCAGCCTTTTTACCAGGTCCTGCACTGAGCAGCCCGGTCAAATCAGATAGGAATTCATCATCATAAACTGATCTTTGTTCCCAAATTTTAAATATCCTTAATATCTTCGGTCGAACCTTTTCATCCCTGAATCAGAAATTTTAAATTACTAAAATTAATTTTTTATTTACATAAAATTCTGTTTTAATAATGTTTCACTTGTTAATCTTAATTTTTTTCAGGTAAGCATCTTTTGATAACTTTAGTTATTAAATTTGGACAAAAAACAAACTTAGATTTTTAAATCAAAAACATTTAATTAAATTTAACCTCTTAGATTAGTAATAAGATCTACAAACCTTAGCTTGCACTTTTTATACAATTCAAGAAGGACATATTACAGTAAGGTCTCTATTTCAATGTCCATTTCATTTAAAACAAAAAAGGGAATATTTATATTCCGAATTGTTGAACAGACTTGAACTATACTAAAAATCAATCTATTTACAAAACTTACCTGACCAGAGGTGTAGCTTTCTGTAAATTTAATCCCCAACTTTCAACGAATTTATAATTCTTTCTTTTACTATATTGGATCACATCATTTGCGAGATAGAACAACACTAATCTTTGCTCCACTTTAACCCGTTTCAAAACATTCAACCAGCTCGAAACAATCTTTTTATGATGATCACGTTGTTTTAAGCACCACGAAGATAATGATTGGATACTCTCCTGAGTATCTTTCAACTGAGAAAGTTTCTTTTCAAAGGCTAGCGTATTGAACTCCTCAGATTCATCCATTTTAGAGGGAAAAGGCTCACAAACACATCTCGACGTAATCTTGTTATACAAAAAGCATTAACACATAAAATACATCATAACTTACGTAAACAATCAAACTACTAAAGTAATACTTCACTTATTATTGAAAAACTATTTCGTAAATAAATGCGGTCTCCTACCGCTATATTGTTATGAGATAAAGTACTATTTTTATAGAAGCAAATAGATATCGTTAACTGTCCATAATGCTATGGACATATAACACTAAACACCATTGATCAGAATAAATTTGTTTGAAAGCTCCTTTCTACACCCACAAAATTTTAACTTGTTGGAAAGATTCCTGTATTTCCTAATATAACAACCGCCATTTTATCTGTAGTAAATGATGTGCTGTCAAAGATCAGCTATAAAATTGTTGCCAACATTAAAAAGCAACAAGCGTCAAAACTTGGTCAAAACTTTAAGTTACCGGAAAAATTATAAAAAAAATATTTTAAAATAGTTAATATTGTTAATAGTTAATAAAAAAATTATGCTAGTTTTTATCGAGGTTTCGAAGAAAAATGTTTCATAACCATTTCATAACATAACGTAAACAAAGATGACTCATATTCACAATACGTCAAAAATTGTTTATCAGCTTATCAGGTCAAAGAGTATATAAAATAAGAGACGGGACTCTTGACTAATTTGACACACAAACGGAGAATAAAAATTGTCATTTTCAATGCTAGCAATATTATGAACGAGTCTACGTTGCTACCAACCTACAAAAATAAAATCTGTCAGTTTCCTTTTTGACGTTTGAAAGTATTATTCGAGGGAAAACAATTTAGGAAAAATAAAACCATTTCGTTAATTGCAACTTTAATTTAATCTTCTGACTAAAGCGAACATATTTTAAGAACGCAACATTGATAAATGCTTATTTGTTCCAGTTTGTTTATTTAATAGGTCAATTGTAGAGGATCAAATATTAAAATTTCAGGAATCTTCCAGCCGCCTAAAAGACATAAATCCTCACATGGCATATTTTATTATAAAATTCTGTCTCTTTGTGCCCAAGACTACCTATACGCTTCGCTGTACACCGCTTTGGGCCCACAATGACCTTCTCTCTCGTTTAGATGACACGGTAAGAATAGCGTTAAACGGCACATTTAATTGTCCTCTAAACGATAGATGCTGGGCCCAAGCAACCTTACCGATTCGCCGTGGTGGTCTTGGAATACGAAAAATTTCAAGTGTAGCACTGCCAGCCTTCCTGTCCTCGGTTCATAGCTCGGTTATCCTCGTTGGTAGCATACTAGGCCCGTCGCTCTGCGGCGTAGAGTTTGCCTGTTTGGCCGAGGCCAGGGATACCTGGCTTAGTGCAACTGGTCCAGACCTACCCCTGAACCTGGCTTCGCAGCCTCACTGGGACGAGCCTCTCTGAAGATACGAAATCATCTGGTAGAGTCTTCAGAAAGCGAAGCGGAGCGGTCTCGTCTCTTGGCCAGTTGTGAGCCAGAGTCAGGATACTGGTTAAATGCTATTCCATCGTTTAGTTTGGCGGTGAGCTTACGTCTAGGGGCCCGGACGAACGAACCCCATCGCTGTCGGTGTGGGGTAGACGTCGATCCTCTTGGTCATCACGGTTTAGCATGTCGTCGCAGTGCAGGACGCATTCCGCGCCATGCCGCCTTAAATGATGTCATCCGTCGAGCCCTTGCCTCTTCCGGCGTGCCGGCAGTGCTTGAACCCAATGGCATCGTCCGAGATGATGGCAAGAGGCCCGACGGTATGACCCTCATTCCGTGGAAAAACGGGCGGTCACTCGTGTGGGATGCCACATGCGTGGACACTGTTGCTCCATCCCACGTGAGAGCGACCGCTCGTAAAGCCGGCGCAGCTGCGGCGACAGCCAAAATCAATAAGAGGCGTAAATATGCGGCGTTGGCAGATCCGTATATATTTGCGCCTTTTGCCGTGGAGACCTTCGGCCTTGGGGTGCGGAAGCCCGTCGCCTGTTTAAGGAGATTTCCGCACACCTCATCGACGCCTCAGGGGATCCAAGGGCTGTCGCGCATTTCGGGCAAAGATTGAGCCTGGCCATCCAACGGGGAAATGCCGCCAGCCTCTTGGGAACCCTACCGTGCGACCGCAGCGATTTGGGATCGATTTTTTATATTATTTAGTTTGGTTTAGTTTTAGTTCATAGTTTATAGTATTATTTTGGTAGATTAATTTTAATTTAATTAGTGACTTAATAATTAATATAGAGTTAAGTAATTCAATAATAAGTTTATGTATATATATTTTTAAGTTATTATATTTTTCAATTGCTAAATAGTTATAGTTATAGTTGCGTTACATGTTATATAATATATTTTTACAAACATAGGTCATATCAGGGGGTGGAAACTTAGAAGAAGGACGATTTGTATGGAAAGTGGCGCCACCTTTTAAATCTTGGTAAACATCATTTCATCTCATGGCTAAGAAGAAACATAATTTGTGTCATCGAGACATTCATGTGTCATCAAACCGCTACGTTTTTTCGTATTTCTATTTCTGTTCTTGTATTCTTAGTTAAATGTTGTTTCATTCATTTTGTTTTTAATTAAAATATGTTTTCATGAAAAAGGACGCTGTATGAAACTGTGTTTTAGATGGACTGCTTATGGTAAGTTACAATACAATAAAAATTCTCATATTATTCCCACACGTCAGACTCATTTAAACATTTAAATATTTTCGTATTTTGGTATAGTTTTTATTTAGCACCATTGTGATTTATACTTTGCGGTAAAATCATATTGAATGGTGCCCTAATTCTAATACATTTTACATATCAGTTCCTATACTTGACAGGAAATCACATTCTGTTTGTTTGTTGTAGGTGCAAATGTACAAGGCTTTCCCCATCCTGAGAGACGGTCAGTGATGTTTAGAAAATGTGTGTCAATCACTGGAATTATAGATCCATAAACTGATGTGTCTGAAATTATTAGGTGGGTCCATATGTGTATATGTAAAAATATGTTTTTTTATTTGTAATTTTTTTTTGTAAAGAAAATGTGCTTGCCTATGTTGTAAGTAAGAGAATATGTTCAGAGTGTTTAAACTTGCAAATAACTACAAATTGCGAGTTGCCAGCTTGCATGTGACTGAAAAAATTTTAAGGTTTGATTTTAATTACAGGGTATGCATTCTTTTGTGACCGTGCTATACTATTTATTACCGTAAATGTAATTTTCAAAAATATACATTAAAAATTACAATATTGAGCTGATATCTTGAAAGTCATTGATGTATATGTACAGTCAGTCAGTACAATATAGAAATTTTTGTGACGTTTGATAATGGTGGAAATCCGAAAATGAACCCACTTCAACTACAGTCTATTGTAAGCTTCCTATCGAAAATCAGAACGAACTTTCCGGACAACCTATAATGTTAATACAAAGTGTCAAATGAATGTAACAGAAGTAGTTTATTCAAAATTGTACTACAAGTGTATAGAGATAGAGTACAATTTTGTCAAATGTTACGATATTTTTGCGCACCTTGACTGCTTCGTTACTTATGACGCTGTGGCTGCTACGATATTTATGGGCACCTTGCATGTACTCATATATTTGACGCTGTGTATGTACCGATGTATTAGAGCAGGGTGAATGTATCTATTAATTTGAAGGCTTTTGTTGTACCGATATAATTGATTACTTTTGGTGTACCTATATATTTGCATATCTTATCTGTGACGATCTAAATGACGCTGACTGTACTTGCATAAATTTAAAATTAAGTTATGTAGAAATATAATAAAAAATCTATAAAATTTTACAATATTTTGTTTTTATTTCCCCAATAATAGGATCATTTTAATATAGGTATTTCATAGGAGGCTACTTGATATCGGCTAACTATATTAATAACTACATAAGTGGGTATATTATTTTTGAACATTGATTTAATGTTAATTTTAACTTTATTAATTAGATTCCCACTTATTAGTTATTACTATAGTGAGCTAAATATGCGTGCCTACGTATATAGATACCAAAAAAAAAATTAGTTCACCGATTATACGCATGGAGCGCCACAATCGCCGTGGATCCACGACTTCGTGCGAGTTGCCCCTCTTTCTATAGTATACTTACTATACTCTTTGGGTCATATTTACTGATAGAACTGGAGTAGTAGTGTCACTCTCGTCGGGAGAAATACACATATCTTTGAATATCTATGCAGTTGTATGCAATTTGTAATTACAGTAAGAATGTCGGATGGATGTTATCAAGAAATTCGAAGAACGCATATATATATATCTCCGCTATATATATCTCCGCTATATATATATATATATACGGTATATATATGTATACCCTTCTTCTTCTTCTTCTTCTTCTTCTTCTTCTTCTTCTTCTTCTTCTTCTTCTTCTTCTTCTTCTTCTTCTTCTTCTTCTTCTTCTTCTTCTTCTTCTTCTTCTTCTTCTTCTTCTTCTTCTTCT